GTTTATGTAATAGCATGTGGACTGATTTTTTCAAGGATTTCCGAAATTAAGACACTGTTACGTTAAGGGGAAACTTCTGAAATGTGTGTCTACATATTTCTGAGTTACTTAATTACTTTCTGTGCGTACTGCACATTTGCCGATTGCTGTCCTACTGGAATGTTTGTTTTTCCTTTGACTTTGTTTACTTCTCAGCGATGATATGAGTGATCAAAGGCTGTAAGCCGAATGGGACGGTTGTAGCCTACTTACTTGCACTGTACAAGCGGTTGGTTTGGAGAACTAAGAAAACCCACATAATACCTCTGTCAATGAAAGTGTTTTGAAGGTGACTGCGCCCAATCGATGTTCTTATTCCTGGCAGATGGGTGTTTCCCCAATCAACACTTTTGATGCGTTCAACTTGAAACCTGGAACGGAGTACAAGTTCCGTGTGACGCCAAGAAACCGCTATGGCTGGGGAGAGTCCGTTGTCACCACGGATCCGGTAACGGTCGGGCGTAAAGTGGAACTGCCGGAATTCACCCGGATCCTGCCAGGACAGCTCAAGGCGCTCCAGGGCTCGAGCATCCGCCTGGAATGCCAGGTAACAATGGCGCAAATATTATCGTGTATGTATCTACCACGACACGTCATCTCTATTCTCTAGAAATGAAGATTCTTATTTTCAATTTTTTTATTTTTACGATATTTGGAAAACACGTACTTTTTACAAAAGTACGCAACAGTTCACAGAACATAGAGAACCTATTTCCTATGCAGATAAATTATTTCATAAAATGAGTACAGGGTACGTATGCTGAGGTGCATGTGGGAGGATAATATTAAAATAGATTTCAGGAGATGTGAGGCGTTGCAGGGCTCTGGTGAACACGCTGATTTACTTTCGGGTTCCATAAAAGCCGGGAAATTTCTTGACCATCAGAGCGACCGTAAGTTTCTACATGTCGTAGGTAGAAGCAAGCGGACAGCACCTGAAATAATCTCAAATAAAGATGAAAGTGAGTTGGTTCTCGCAGGGACAGACAGATCGTAAATGTGAGGAACTGTTGCAGGTACGTGGCGACCCTGTGCCTCAGGTGCGGTGGTACCGCGACGGCATCGAGCTGAACGACCCGAGGTTCGTGACCAATTTCGACGGATTGCGCACCTGCCAGTTAAGCATCCAGGAACTGAGGGATGAAGACTCTGGCCGCTACATGTGCGAGGCGACCAACAAGGTGGGTCGCGTCTCCACGTTCGCGCGGCTGTTCGTGGTGAGCGACCCCAAGATTCTGGAGGCGGACCATAAGCTCAAGCGGTGAGGAAACGTTATTCTGTGTACCGAACCACCGTCTTATGTTATATTATCTTCGGGGGTTTAAGGTGTCAGCAAATGAACCAAACAAAACTGGTGTAGTGACCTGATGTTTTTTTCTTGCAGTGGTATCCAGGATGACCAGGATGCGGTCACCGACACACCGCCACAGTTCACTATGCGCCTTCGTGACCGCCGAGTACAAATGACGTATCCTGTGCGTCTCACCTGCCAGGTCGCCGGGCGCCCACAACCCGAACTGACGTGGAGTAAGGACGGAGAGGTGGTCAAACAAGACGGTACGACGGCACTGGCGAAATTCGATCCAAAACCCACCTGAAAGCGACTTATAAACCTTAAATAATAGCTACTTTCCGCTGCAGTTTGTGACCTGAAGACTGAAAAACTTATTTCCCTTCTGTGAAACATTTAGAAACTATTCTCCTTGCAGACTGCCATGTTTTCTGGAGCGAGGAGAGTTTCCATACGCTGGAGATGAGCCATACCAGACTGGAGGACTCAGGGTGCTACTCGGCTACCGCTCGGAACGCGAACGGCGCCGTGTCGTGTCGTTGTCATCTGGTAGTGGACAAAGGGATCCGGGCATACGTCGCTCCGGAGTTTTTGTTCGAGCTGGAGCCGGAGCATTCCGTCCGAGAGGGGGGCGAACTGCGGCTGTCGGCACAAGTGGAGGCCTACCCCTCTGTGGGCGTCATGTGGTGAGCAGGACGATTGAATTCAGTAAACGCCCTGACACCCTGATTACATGAAATACTCCTACCTACAAGCGTGAACGGCGACTTCCGAGGTATCCAGTCGCATCAGAACCCTGATGATCGGGACAGAGTTGGTTCCCGAAACGTCGGTTTACTACCGTAACCAGTTAACGCGGCTGAATGCCCGAGAAGATTTTATTGATTGTACTCGCCGCGAAAGTCTCAAATCCTATAAGATATTTAGTTCTTTGCAGTCATATCGAGTTTAACGCTCTGAAATCGAAGGTTGGACAATTGTAGATTTACTAGTACCTGCCTCGTATGTAGGCTGCAGTGGCGCCGCGCCAGGTCAATCTACCCCAGAAATCCATTCATAGCGGAACTTTTCTGGTATCGAGGTCAGTTTCATGAACTTGAATAGTATTACGGGACAGACATACATTCTCGCCAAAGAAACCTTTTCATTTTGAAGCAAGGGCAGTACCGGCCCCGAGTCGTGGCACTGTGCCTCGGACAGATGGTTATCTCTCCTGGTCCGTTTACAGCAACTCGTACGTCACTCGCCATTGCGGGTTGCATTTTAAGATGCAGTAGGGGCCGTGTGTCTTTAAATTACCTGAGTGAAGTATTGAACTGTAGTCACTGAATTCGAAGCTGTCAAGCTATCTTTTAGAACACTTTTTCGCACTTTGTTCTCGCAGGCCTGTGTGTAGGCATAAGCGAACTGAACAACCACATTGAGCAGAGTTGTTGTTGAGAAGCTAATAGTCGCTCAGTTAGCCAAGAAGTCACCCACCTCCTATGGAACCCGCAGGTCCATATTCCCACCTGGTCCTACCTACGTCGAAGTTTTTTCATTTTAAAGCTTTCCAAATAATGCGTGTATTTTCATGCGTGCTACGGTTGAGACTGAACCCGGTACCTTTTTGAATTGTAGCTTCATGCGCTAATAAAATTATCGCCACGTCTCCATTGCCCTAGAATTATGATGGTCTCTGCGACAGGTACCGGGACGGAGTTCGCCTGCGCCCAAGTCGTCGCATTGTGATGACTCTGAATCACGACGGTATCGTCGAACTGGCACTGGCTGGCATATCGGCGCGCGACGCCGGCGTTTATAGCTGCACGGCAACCAATGAGGTGGGTCGCGCCGATACCTCGACCCGAGTGAACGTTCAAGTGATGGACGCCCCACCCACCACCAAGTTGCCGACTGTAATTGGACCCGAGATCCCGTAAGTACCCTGCAAGATACTTTGTCGTCTTCACCGCCGTTAAGAACTCTCATATCTCATTTGGTAACGACGTCAGACACTAAAATTGTAGGAATGCAAAATCAATATTTTGCTGTATAATACAACAGCTGCCGTATTATTATTAAAACTTCCTTGGTGTTGCGATAGTTCAGGAGATAATCCCCGCACAATCGACTTTAGATCAAGATTCTCCGCTGAGTGAGTGTTTTATTCCCAATCGTCGTTCTTCTCTGTCCGTCTTCGTCTTTCACTCCTCTCATTGTAACAGTTTACGTTATAATCTTGCCTTGACATAAATTTGTGTGTCCGTTTAAATATTCCTCACAATTAGTAAGCCAAAAGTTTTGGTTTAGATGTGTCGTGGCGATGGAAACGTTAATACGTAATAATTAATCTGTTATGGGACCTGAACAGAAATACGCGAAACGTGAAATTGTTTTCGACCGTTAAGAAAAGTAAAATTTAGAGGTAGGATCCAAAAAAAAAAAATCGGAATATTATCAGATCTCACAATATCAAGACACACACTAGTTTACATCCGTCGACATGTATGAAATCTCTTTATTTAAATGAATGTTGTCTTGCCGCACATTTGCACGGCTTGTAACGTGTATATTTTACGTTTTCTTGGTCTAAAATTTACGTTTGGATTCGTCATCAAAACACGTACAGCAGCCGGTTTGCCGTTTTTACGACAGGAATTGCCTATTGTTCATTCAAACATTTTTAAAGAAAATGAAGATGTGAATAGTTTTACAGTAACAGCAGAGTCATTTAAGAGTTCCTCCACTGGCCGTATTTTACCGAGTTCTTTCTAGTCCGCTGAATAGCCTTGCATGTATGCGGCGCCGAAGTTAGATTCAACACAAAGAAACTCGAATATATCAATTAGTTTTTGTGTTAAATCCAAATGAACTGAAGGTCAGTGAAGTGTTTATTCGTAAATAAAGAAAAGATTACGTTGTCGAGAATGTTATAAAACGCGCTGATCAGCTTGTCCCATTTTAGTATAAAAGACTTAATTAATATTTCAGATACTCCAAAGTGCCATTGTTCGTAACGAAGCCGAGATCGACTGAAGCCGTAGAAGGGGACACGGTCATTATCCTATGCGAGGTCGTCGGTGATCCCAAACCAGAGGTCATATGGCTCCGGGACTGGCTCAAGGTATGGTCGTACCATCTTTATGAACTTATGCATGACTATTGGTTAACGGGAACTAGTGCGGGGGAGGGGGGTTCTTGGTCTCCGGGTCCAACGGTAAGAGAAGAAAAAAGTTCTACCGCCTCCGGAACGGGATCTCAACTCGCGTATAATAACGCACTATGAAGTCTGAAACTCTGATAGCCCATATTTCTAAAAGACTGAGACATTTCACACTCACGAGGTAACGAGATGCGTTACGTGTTATGATGAAACTCTGCACCGCTAGTTATTTACCACGAAAGGAACGAGAGTAATATTTATTGTAGTGTTAGTCTTGAGAGATTTAGTAGCCGAAGGTTCTTCGGTGATGGATGAGGTTGCTTATGAGAGGTGAAGCTGGAAAGACGTGGAAGTTGTCCACATTTAAATGGAGGAACCGAGGAACACTGAGTTAACCTCATCTGTTCTTCCCCTAATTTCGTATACAGTCGTGTGCTGTCCGAAATGTTACCTGCTGGGTAACCTGGAAATAACGAAGTTCCTCGAACTGTGATATAATCCGTTCCCCCAGGCCGCGCCGTAGCTCAGGCGGCCAGTCGCCGGCTGTTGTTTCTTCCATGAGCCCGTTTTTCCCGCTAATTTTATTCTCGATGTAATCGCCTGAATAATACCAGTACTTCATGTAATTTTCTGATACTTTATCTGTCTAACGTTCAGATATTTACTTTAATTCTGTGTTCTTAAGCGAGCTTTATGCGCTAAACAACTAGCAACGATACAGCGCTGCTAAAAATCGTTTTATGCATTATTACACCACTGGCGTAGTATGATGAGTCGAAGTTGATGGGAACCAACGTCTTTTGTGTTGAACAGTTTACGATTTATTGTAGTGTTATCTTTGCAGATTGCACTGAAATTAGAACAATTCTTTAGAAAATAAATTACTGTGAAAACTTTTCCGCGATCGAAGCTAGATTCTTGCCAAAAGCATCAACACAAAACCGACTGCCTCTCTCCACATTCCGTACTCCATCCAAACGCAGACTCCAGCAGACCCCATCATAGGTTTCAGCCTAGCCGCGTTTGCATTTCTTGCTACCATAGTTGCCACCGTCACTGCCACTACCATCGTCCGTCGTCATAATTATATTCTATTGTGAAACTTTACACTCAACAAGTTTTCAACGTCTTGTATGGACTCAGGTAGGTTGTAAAATCAGGTTATAAAATAGCAACCATAATCTACGTATACTGTTTGTCTTTTTCTAAGATACTTGTTAAGTTTGTGAATGAATAAGAGGGTTACTAGTTCCTTGGAATGACATCTGACACTTTCAGTGCCGGCTTATTTACGGACACTTCACACAGACCATTTACTTGCGTCGTTATGAACGTCTGATGTCCGCGCTATCGCTTTAGTAAAATAGACTGCAGATGTCGTGTCCCGGAACTACACGTCTCGAGCCGATGAACTGGTAGGGAATTGAATCGAGAGCTTGAGGCGTGAGACCACTTCGTGGACCCCACATTATGAGGTGGTGGGAGATCCAATTACCGCATGTTGGCCAGCGTCCAGATCTTCTTTGGACACCATCAGATAAGACGTGCTGTCACATCACAGGTGCAAACAACTCCGAGGCATCTTTTCTTCAGCCACTAACATTACTGTAACAAAAAGACGAGTATCAATTGGACAGAGGTCAGCTTATTCCCGCGTTTGTCTAATTTGTTCGTTATAAACAATAAGAATGAAGAGGCGAAATCCATGGGGTGTTCATGATATTATTACCATTGTGCACACCTCATTGTAGGTACCTGACGTTAATGTATTGCAGACACAAAATTCTTTTACTGCAGACATCACATTGCACAATCATAAATGATCTTTGTTCGTTATATCATTAAATATTCACCGATCGATAATTGTTTCTCATACACGAAAACCAAATTATGAGGTCTTACTTTCTGTACAAATCTTCGGTAAGGGGAATGATTAAAACCGTGTAACTTTGTTTAATGGAATTAACCTAATTCTCTGTATGAAAGCTCAGCTAGCTGAGGGACGTACGTTGAGAGAAGCGTTCAGAAAATTTCACACGAACTATCTTTATGAAACACTACGTCAAGACGTTCAGAAACTATCTTTATGAAACACTACGTCAAGAATTTTTGAGCTCATCAGCTGTAAGAAACACCTTAATTTAATAAGTCGGCTAATAAATACTTTTGTGTTCGTTGACGGTATCAGAACCCCACATAACACACCCTACTACAAATGTCAGTTTCTCTCTAAATAAAATTGTTAAAAATATTACTACGTATTTTGTTATAAAATTTTATGAAAAATGGTGTCGGCTGAGGAGAATGTTTGGACACAACAGAGTTGAAATGACAGTCTTCCGAAACATTCACATTTATTTGTAATTGTTTATTCTCCTGGGGTCCACATAGAAACAACTTACGTAGGCTACGGATCCAAAATTCTTTATGTACCGGTGTGTTATAAGGACCATGCAAGTCTTAGAACGGCCTTTTCTTCCATATGTACCTATCCGGAACTTGCACAGTTAAGGTTAATGAACCAGTAATTCATTCTTTATACCCAAGTTGGCAGAGAAAAGAAACATGTGGTACTGTCATTTAATGAACGGTGTATTATACTTTTATGCAAATTGGCTTCAAGATATTGATCAGTTGCTACGACTGTTATAATAGCAGCAGTGTAGCTGCGGGTTAGCGAGGGCGGGCTGGCGCCAACTCCTCCACTGACCCCGTGTCCTTCTCATGGCTTGCCAAATAAGGCAGTCCAGGGCAGCGTAAGGTTCTTGCAGGGTCGTGTCGTCGTGTCGTGTCAGGCCATTGAAACATCACTTATACATTGACCAGACAAGTTTATTTCTTTATGTTTAACCATTTAGTGACGAAGAACTGTAAATGTTGTAACACTGGCAGAAGAGTATGAAGGTTCAAACACTGCAAAAACTACGACTCGCAGTTGGACACGATTCTAAGCCAATTTCATCCAATTTTCATTCTCATGCTGCATTTCCCTAAGATCCATTTTTATGTTCTCCCATCGCCTTCACAGTCTTTTAAGAGACCGTTTAAAGAGGTTTCCCAGCCAAAACTCCGCACGTATTTATCTAATATTTGATAAATTATTAAATATACATATATGTATATATACACATATTCCATAAATGTTCTCCCACGGACATAACAAATACCTTTCATCCATTTCCTCCAACCTCGGCACATATCCAGCCCATCATAGTCATCTTGAACAGTTGAAAAAATATAGGCCTGCTATTCAAATTATTTGAATGTCGTTGATTCCCTTTGTTACGATGAACACTGAAGTGGTGTTATTCTTATGAACGTACACTACCAAAATTAATCAGTGCTAAGGTCAACAACTTTAAGATCTCTAATATGTTCCACAAGTGCCCATTACTATTCTCCAGAGGAAATTAACAAAAAACGAACACTTCACTGTGTATTACAGCAATGTAGAAAGTTCTGAATTGACAACAGTCGCTTGTATGAGGCTTATCCACTGAACCTATAGCCAATTTCAGAAATGTAACATTTCAACCTGAAGATGGAGGCAGAATTTTGCTCCGTAATATCAGTGTACAGCCAGAAGATTACGCGGCTTAACAGCCCAGGATATCTCGGAATTTTGCTTCGTAACATCAGTGTACAGCCAGAAGACTACGCGGCTTAACAGCCCAGGATATCTCAGTCTCATTTAATAAATGCTTACTACGTATTTACGGACATTCTTAGGAACATGTCAGACTCCAAAACTATGAAGATAATTTAGGCCTGCTAACATCAGAGCTAAAATAATACGTCTTCTTGATGTATGTGGAGACCCAATTTGTCTTCCTTCAGTCACAAAGTGTAATTGCTGTTGAGTTATGAAAAGACTAATGATGAATCATACGAGCAGTTGCTTTGACACCCAGAACTCTGGTCTTCATGCGGACCCCACGTGGGCGCTACAATGAAAGTAATGATGGGTTTCATACACGACGTTTAACAAGAGGCTGTTGAGGTTGCTTTCAATCACATACTGAAGGGGTCAAACGGCACGCCCGTTTTTCAGTGTTATTTTACCTTCAGCTTTTACACCCGCGATTATAAACTACGTACAACAACGGAGCATTTTTCGTGACTGCTTTATAGCTTTATTCATGAACATGTGTTTAGTGGTTGTGAAAGTATCTGCGACTTGGCTGTACGAGTTTGTGAACACGTAAGGATTTCGGCCTGTAATGCTCTGAACGTATTCTAATCGGTTGTGTCAGTATGTTATGGTCGCGATAACCGATACTGCACATTCTAGTCGAAAACAATTGTGGAAACTCAAAGCTTGTATGAAAGAAGTGTTTTTTGGTTCCGCACTCCGGTTTAATTTTGAGTTATGTTGACACAATTTAGACCGCCGTCGTGCGAGAGCGTTCATTAAAATGTTCACTAAAAAGGAACAAAGTTTCGAGAAATGTTAGTAATTTGGTATTGTAGAATGTTAAATATTATGATTACGTAGATTGTACCTTCGTGAGTTGAACATTCTATCAGTAATGTATCCATATTTAAGCAGATATAAGTTTCAATCAATGCGAAGTCGGTATATGTCAACCAGCAAAGTAACTGGCTCCAGGTTTGAAGACCAAACTTCGAATCTTGGCAGGATAGCGGGGAGTTTCTTGACCGGCTGAACAAATATTCGGTTTTCAAGAATGACCTTACACTATAGTTAGTTAATTTGATGTCGCGTGTTCTATACTTATGAGAAACAGCGACTCGCTTTACGGAATTTCCTTTTACGAATTCTCGTCAGGAACGTATCTAGCAGTAGGAGCGGTGACTGCCTGTGTTCGAGAACACGCCGTCGCGCCTGCATCTCGTTACTGACCTTAAAACAGATCCAGCCGCTAACATTGGAACCGACCATTATTCACGACTGAAAAGCTTGTATTAATTAATGTCTGCACAGTGTCATATATTAGGCA